ATAATTGACGTATCGAGACCGGGTTTTTTTATTAGCTTTAGAATTACATCAACTGGTTTTCTATTTCATATCAATAGCCTAGTACCCGTAGTTTGTTAATAAAATGATTTTCAACTTTTATAACTTTTATTGCTATTAAAAATTTAAAGGCGCTGTCATATATTTTTTTAGCATTTGATAGACAAAGGACAAATATACTACATAGCCTATATCGATTAAAAAAAAATAATTTTAGCAACTTCCAATGGGTTCTGCCAGCGTCAAGTATTTCATGAGAGTCACACAGAGTATTAGCTAGTTTCCGTTTCCATTGATGGGCTTACTTAGATTTATGTTACGAACTTACTTATGTAGTTATTTTCGAATGAATTAATGTTATGATAGTTCTACAAAATGATTGCTTATATAATAAAATGGATATAGGTAAGTGTCAAAATTACTGTAGTTTAATGTTATTAATGGATATGAGGTCTAATAAAGTTTGTATAAAAGGAGTAAACAAAATTGAACAAAGACTTAAGATTTTTAGGACTCGTGTAGAGTTAAGCCAATTATTTTATTTTCTAGTGCTCCTTTCGAGGTGTTCGTTAAGGCCCTGTCATTCAGTGACTTGTCTTATAAAATACTGATATGATGTAGCGCAGTAAATATCAAAGAGTAGAGTTTGTACTTTGTATATTGGCATTATCAAATTTTTTTAACAACTTGCGTAGCCATGGAGAAGGAGTTTGTTAGTAAAAATTAGATCAAAAGGATTTTTAGGGTTGAAATTATTTAATTGAAATTAATTAAGTGAAACTGGGGAGTAGAATTTCGCAAGCTTCTTTATACATATAGACCAACATCGTAAGTATTTTCTAGCTAGTTTAAAAAAATGATTTTAGGATATGTGAAAATAGAACCCTGTTTACTAAACGCGACGAAATGAAGATATAGCTTAAAGAACAAGCATCCAAGTCAAAAAATGTTAATTAAAAAAGTATAGTTGACAACATAGATAGCTAATCTATGGTTGACAAACTAAGGCCCGCTACTTACATACGGAATTCCGTTTCGGGATTCCGTTACGGAATTCCGAACAGGTCGGCCACACACATACGGCATCCCGTTTTGCCCACAAAATATCGAACGGAAAACTACCGTAGGTGTGTGACGAGTCATATATTTTATATGAACTTGCTGCGTTCCGAATATCGAAAAGGAATCCCGAAACGGAATTCCGTATGTATGTGCCAGGCCTTACGCATTTGACTCAGAGCAGGGTACTATAGTGCGCGCAAGATAACTCTGCGTGCGATTGATGGCGTACTTAATGTTTCCAGCTTAACAAAATTTTTTTTCCTTCATTTAATCGTATTACTAGCATTATATAATTATATCAAATTACATAAACGATAGAATTGACTACCAAAGCTCAGTTAAAAAAACTGTAATGTTTAACTTAAACTTAAAAGACCTAATAAATTTTAAACCCGATATTTATTGTTTAAGAAATCTCTGATAATAAATGTTTAAGAAATACCTAATAAATACATTTCTTTATTCTAACTTTCGTAACTTTAACACTTCACTACACAAGTTTCTATGGTAAGACTTACGTTAATATAAATTATTTCTTGAGAATCATTTGAAAACGTTTAATTTATGCGAGCGAGTTTAAGACAAAAATAAAAAAACACGCTTTAGTTTTATTTTTCTTCTCAGTAAACCCCTTTATTTGATACCCATATCAAGGGAACGCAAAAAAAAACTAGTCCTCCTTCTTTAGGAGTCCGCCATATTGGATGTAGAATAACGACACTTATCTAACCATGCATTGTCTTCTAAATTAAACGTATATGCAAAATTTCAGCTCCATCAAAACTTGAGAAGTTGGTCAAATTTAACTTCCAATGTTTTTTTTACATAATTACAGGTACAAATTATATGCTTGTAAGAAATGACTATTACTAAGATCAATGAACACTGATATTTTATCTATAATCAATTTTTTTAAACAGAACTGAAATAGTATTGTAATATTTATTATAAAGAACGAAATAAAAAGTCCATGGAAACCTTGTAAGTATTTTATTGAATACCTAGTATTATTTGTAAATTTGGTGTAACAATGGCCCTGCAGTGGGTCAACGCCTTCTATTCGCACATCTTCATGAGAATCCATGCTAGTCTTCATCAGTAGACTCGGATGTGTCGCCTGTAACATTAATTACAAATTTATCCATTTCCATATCTATCAGCCTATCTGATTCGAAATATTTATCTTCTATTTTTTCTACATGTAGACATACATTCAGCCATTCTTCTATCGTTACTGTTCTAAATGCCACCTCAGTAATAGCAGCTGTTTCTTTAGGACCTTGAGTGACATTTTTCTCTGCAATGCGCCTCTTTACAATTGCACAAAAATTTTCGATGGTATTTAAATCGCAGTGCTAAGGCGTTAAACGGAGAAACTCATGTCTATGATCATTTAACATTTATTCTATTTTATACTGTGAGTCTCCTTTGAGTTTTTTGATTACTTTTACTCCAACAATCGTCAAATTGAACACCATTTCTTGTAAGCCACTCTTGGAAAATTGGGGAGTTTTATTGTTATGGCAGCCCTAAAAATTATCTGTCAAATATGCAACGCGGGCGTAGAGAGAGAAACTCCCTCTACGAACTCGGGCGTTAACTTTGGAAAACGGTACTGTTACTGTAACGGTACACGTTTGACCTTCAAGATTATATCCCTACAAGCACTTTTAATCACTTTCGGCATAATGATAACGATCATTTACTGCAAAAACGAATAAAAACACGCCACCTAATACTCAGTTTTGACACCTGCCAAAAACAGTAAGATGGCGGTACGAGATTAGTTAAAATTTTTGCCGCGCGCAGAGTTATCTTGCGCGCACTCTATGGCAGGGTACATGTATTCAGTGTTGCCAACCGTACGATTTAAATCATATTCATACGATCTTTTTGGCCCTAGTGCGATGTACGAACATGTATTCGAAATCGTACGCAAAATACACGATCTTTTCAAATCTTATAATCTTTATAATTGTTTTACGTCATTCTATTCGTCCTAATCCAAATAAACACTATACATATTGTTCGCTCCAAACGCTGTTGTCGGAATCGACATTTAGGGGGCGCGCGGCTCTGGGCCATACCGGTTTTTGACGTCGGCCGAGCGGTGGGCTGAGAACGCGTAAAGGCGAAAGAGTCGTCTGTAAGCGGTGCTGACGTTAGTACGCTGTCATTTTTGTCGGGAACTCGGAATAATTGGGCGCGGACAGTAAATATACGGTCTAGGATTTGTGAACGCGCATTCCTGCTGGAGAGCTTCCCAGGGACTCATTGTGTCTGACTCAGAATTTGCATAGGTGCATTCAGCAATATTAGCTAGTGCGGCCTGATATTCTAGAACTAACTGTTGCTACGCGAAACGGTGGTGACCTTTGGTCCGGAAACTCCGTGTGCGTTTTGTAAGTTAACCTTATACCCAGCGATAGTTAGTGGCTTCTGTAAGTTAGTTAATCGTAAGATAGAGTGAATTGACTGTCATCGTGACGAACGAGGAAAGTGACTGTGGACAACGCCTCGGAAGGCCCCCTCAAGTTGGAGCGGTGTCGACGCTCGGGCTGCTGCCGACGGCCAAGGTCTAGGTTCAATCACCCTCAGTCACACCCAGATACACATCACATCACCTTAATTCCCTTTCATTACACAACCACATATGACCTGACTGACTCCGGAGCGACCAGTCGCCTTGGATATAGGTAAGTAAGCTCCGCCTAATTCCTCTGCCGGTCGACTGGCCGTAGTATAGAACGCTCCCCCATATAATTTAGTGTGTTAGAGAAATTCCACGTGGCCACATTGAGGCCCGACCTACGTCTGCTCGGGAAGTCTTCTGCTCATGGGCCCCTGAGGATTCGATGCTTTAAGGGAGCAGCCGTAGGCCGTAACACATATTTTGTTATTTTTTTTTTTACATATTTTTGTAATAGAGGGTAGAGTGGACATAGTCCGAGCCGTAAAGTTTAGTGTCAGATTCTTAAATGTTATTGTTTTACCCTAATGTAAAATTTTGCTTTGAAGTTATAATAATATTATTTTTGTATCAGTATAGTAATATTAAGTTTTTTATTGAAATATTGATGCATACTATCTTTTTTTGAGTTCTTAGCAAAATACGATCTTTACCAGTATATGGTACGATCTCCTAAAAAGTAAAGTTGGCAACCCTGCATGTATTCTGTGCATTTTACATTGGCCTAAAAGTCTAATGGTGGCACTTCACATGGCTATTTGGTATTTGTGAAGCATATTGCCGTATTTGGCAAAAAAATTGACGTAAGGGCAAATAAACGATATAACCGTCCACACATGGAGCCAAATACCAAAAAATGAGACATGTTTGCCAGCGGAAAGTAGTTGTACCTACAAAATGGACGTTGCACTTAGGGGGTTTTTATGCCCCTCGTTTCCAGGGTCCCAAATGCATGGGTTCATTTTATAAAGTTCTAAAAACCTTACAACGGTTTCTTTGTCCCAATTCATTTTCCGTATAAATAATTACTTATTAATGTTATAGACTGGTCCGTTCGTAATGGTTGACAGTTCGCGCGCTTATGAGCCCGACCATGTGTGGCCAGTATATTTGCGTATTTGCCTATTTGTCTCCTTTGATGTGCCTTGAAAAACCGACAGACGATCGGTAAGCCGTATTTGTTATTGGCTATATTTGCCAAATAGGCAAATACGGCAATAATTATGGCAAATATACTCTCCACACATGGAAGTTATTTGTCAAATATCCCAAATACGCAAATACAAATAGCCATGTGAAGTGCCACCATAAATACCAGGCCATAAACTCCAAAAAATGTGCATTTACAAATGACAGTTGATTTGTCATGTTGACATTTCTTTTTCTTTAAAATATTATTTTTGTTCTATGCAAGCGTGTTTTTATTGTAAATAATAAATATAAATTAAAGATGTCTGTAATTAAGAAGAAAAAGCACGTTTCGAAAAAGAATAAAAAGGCATGGCGTAAATACTGTGATATAAAGGACGTTGAGGAATTTCTCGAGGACCAACGTCTAGAGGAACGAATTGGGTAAGGTTATGTTTATCGCACCAAAAAATCAATGATAAAATATTTCATGTCTACACGGGCGCCAAGCTCTATAGCAATTCCAAAAATACCTTGTACATTCCTATAGATTCTATGATTTTAGCAACTGTGACATTCCATTTTATTCTGGTTATCTACTCAATTCTGAGAAACGTAACCAAATATTATACTTAAGACAGCAGAGAGCTCTTCAATAGGCTCTATCACCTGTGTATTGTATTTATTACTGTAGAGTGTTTATAAGGGGTGGGGAGGCCAGGGGACTCGGTAATGGATCATATGGAACAGGAAGTGTGAAACGTCAGATCTCTAATAGCACAATTTTGGCTGATCTCTGACACAACTCAGTTACAATACAGTAATAATAATTAACATCTTGTAAGTAATAAGTAATGAAATAAAACCACTGTGACTTAAAAACGAGGATATCCGCACTAGAACAGAACAGAACAGAAACTTTTTTATTCAATATAGATTATAAATAATACTTATTGAAAGTGACTCTTTTGTTTGATTACCACTGGTTCGGAAAAAACCTCTGTCCTGGGAAGAACCAGCAAGAAACCCAGCGGGACTTTTTTTTTAAATAACAGCTTACAATCATGATGTTACACAAATTAACAACACAACAAATTAGAAATAGCTTGGTAGCGATCACCTCACTACACCACTACACACTAGAACCAGGGTAACCAATGTAGCCCAACGGATTAGCCGGCCATATAGTTCTAAGAATAGACAACTGTTGGTGAAGAAAGGTTCTCAAGTGGCAGCCTCGTACTGGCAGGCAAAGTGTAGTGTGTCCCTCCACCAGATGAAGTGATGACCCTGTAAGTCAATAGATACAGGTGGCCCGGGATTGTGCTTTGTGGCATTCCTTGGGGAAGGCTGGTGTTCAGTAGTGGACTTGTGAAGGGCTGTAATGATGATGATGATGAGCACTGTAGACCCAAAAATATATTTTATTTACAACATTACACACCCATGTTCAATAGATTCTAGCATCTTTTGCCATTTAATGTAGCCTAATGCTTTTGCATTATCTATTTCTTTGGGTTTCTCTATTATTTACCTCAACAAACAAAGCTTGTTTGCCTGTCATTTATTATATACAACCTCACATTACTGGCATGATGATATATGAGGACATTGTTTAGTAATTTTCATATTTCTTTGCCAATCCATTCTTGTGCAAAATGTTTCAAAAAAATCTTCAAAAGCACTAGGGGTTCTTTGTAAAAAACTTCCTGCTGGGTTTCTTCCTGGTTTTTCCCAGGACCGAGGTTTTCTGCCAAACCAGTGCTAAAAGTAAAAAATGACTTCCCAATTTATTTTGTCAAGTCTCAGGACCAGTTCTCCTTACCATGTTACACATTTAGCCATAGATATTGTACACTTTTACAGTTCATTCTTAGTCAAATAATATAAAAATCCAAAAGGATATTTTGTAACAGGTCTCAATTTTAAGAGAAAACGTCACAAATATATATTGCTTATGTACTTTCCCTATATGTAAACTGGGGATGCAAAATTCCTCTTTGATTTTACATATTATGATGTGAGCTATCTTTAGAAGTCTTTTAAAATATATTTTAACTTAGTTTTAGAAATATTAGGCTTCAATGTAGCCTTGTCTATTTTTCTTAAATAATGCTGTTTAAAATCTGAGAAAACATCTGAGAATTAGCTAACAATTCTTTGTTATGAATGTAGGTACATGCATAACACTATTAATAATTAATGTTAGTTTAAGACAAGGATTTTCTACACCAAACATATTTGTCTAAATTATGGATTATATGCTATTGTATAAAGCCTAAGTAAATATTAAAAACAAAAGCGCTTTATACATTTTGTGGTCAGAACAGTGGCTTAGTTGAAAACATTGCCATTTTACTGTAATATTTTCCACTTTAGTTTTTTTCTCTTGCATATTTATTAATTTTATGCTCTAATGTTTGTATGAAATAGTTCTATTCATGTTGGGGGAAATAATAGCCATTATCTAAATAATATTTAACATGTATATCGTTTTACAAATATTGTTTCTTTTCAGTAAATTTGAAACAAAACCTGACTCTGAATTGTTTGTGGTGGACACAGCTGGCGATGAAAAACCTGAAGTGACAGATGTTAAGCCACTATCATTGAAGCAGAAAAAAAGAGCACTTCTCAATCAGACACCTAAGTGTTTTGAAGTATTGCTTCCTACTTCAAAGGTGAGACAAAATTAACAATTTAAAAGAGGTATAATAATGTAATATTAATGGAGACAAGCCATCTGTACAGGTGTCTCATACGATTAACGTATATGAGTGTGTGTGGAATCATAGGTGCACTCTTTTATCTTTCAATCTTATAGTCCTATGGTACAGCATTTCAACCTATGACTTTACATTATTTCCAGGGCATGGGGATGAAACACTGTCATCTTTCTAATTCTAATTAGTAAATTGATTTAATCACACCTGTTGTGCAATATTCAAGATTGTATCTGAAAGTATTGAAATTTTTATTATATGACATCCAAGACTAAACCAAAGTCTCAACTAGTATTGACTTTACGACCTGAAATTTAAAACCTAAACATAACTCATTTAGTACACATGCTATCACACATGCAGATTCCGTGTAAATAATGTTTTCTCATATAATGTTTTGTAGGTCCAAGATCCAAATGCCAAACGTAACCATGTTAACCCTGTGGGAGCCAAACCCACCGCACTAAGTAAGCTCACACAGAAACGACGCTTTGAAAAGGGAGCATATGTTAAAAAAGTGGAGCTCGTGAGAAAGAATAAGAAAATTGCTCTAGCCAAAAAAAGGAAAGCGAAGGAAATAGAAAATACCTTTATAAAGAATTTATGGGGTGATGAATGTAAGTATTTTTAATGGTTATTTAGTATTGTATTGGTTAGCTATAACTAAATGATAAGAGTATATTCTATAGTGTGAGTACATTATTCTGCCCTGAAGTGTATGCAAAACATTATTAAAATATTTTTAATTTTTCAGCCATTATGCTTTTCTTCCTATGTTTTCCTTTTTTAATGACCATGTCATGAAGAAGCCTTTAGATTGCTGTAAGTGAATTTTAGTCTATTATTATTAGGGATTGAAACAGGTGACATTGTAACATTTTCTCCTTCTTCTTCTTTTAAATTATGGCTTCTCTGTAACATTTTCTTGAAAATATACCTGAAATCTTATTGCATTTTCGGAGGGGGGGTGGGTTGGGTTGCCCAACTCACCTATATCTCAGTTCTCCTATTATCTCAAAGGATTTTACCGTAACTACAATGCTTAGGAAGCAGATTGATAATAACAGTATCAGAGATTATGATACCACTAAACATGGTTTCCGTCGTCATTCTGGGTATTTATATCTGATATCTGTACAAGGTGAAGAAGAAAAATAAACAGCCACCAATGAAAGACCGAATAATTGTGCGTTTACACCAGTTAACTCTACGACCGAATCCACGTTCCTCACACTGCCAATATACAATTAACTATGATATGAGTTATTATATTATATTGCAATTGTGTCTTTTAAACTTTGGATTCTTCTTGGAAAATGTGTCTTTGTCTTCTTGAAATTTTCGGAATGATGGTTTCTCCATCTTGTAGGCTACCATCACCATAACTATGATAATTTAACATTCTGCATGATGGTTCAGAAGGGTTGTTTGTTGGTTATTAAGTAGCTCCCTTAAATTTATTATTATTATTTTGCAGTACCAGAGGTAAAAGGCATTCCATCTACACTATGTGATGATTTTGTATCAGAGGAAGCTCAGCTTCATAACGTATTACCAGAAAAACGCTTACGTCCTAAGCCACCGCCACCTAAAACTGTGGCTACCCGAGCAGCTATTGAGACACCGCACCCTGGAGTCAGCTATAACCCCTCTTATCAGGTGAGAGTAATTTGTTTTTATTAGGATTACTATTGAATTTCCACTACCCCATATCATCTCGTAGGTGTCATAAGAGACATCAGATGGAAACATCCTGGTTTGTTCCTTCCCCCTTCCTCCCGGACCTCCAAAGTAAATGGACGTGTTAAGTGTATGTACTACATACAAATTTCTCTATTTTATAAACTAAACAAATAAACTTGAAATATTAGGAGCACAGTTTGCTGAGGAAGTTGTGTTAACAAACCGTTCTACGTCAAACCTATGTGTGAGTTAACTACTTATTGTTCGATATCACAAAAAGTTGGAAGAGGAGCACTTAATAATACAACACACGCCAGTCTATTTAAAAAAAAAGGATAAATATACTTTAAGCACTCTGCTTATGAAGAGGTCTTGCATAGGTGGACGGAACTTTAACTTGTACGAACTCATCGCTCGACGTCCAGATTACTTGACCCTTAGGAGGTATATTTGAAAAGTGTCACTAATTGTTTAATTCTGCTATCCTAGTACATTCATTTGAACACAATCACAATGCCGTTGAAGCGTACACCCCCTCCCTCGCCTCTCACCACACCAATAGCGCCCACGTTCAGTAGTGCAGAGTACAGTGCTACCACTATAACAACAAATGAAATCAGTTCTATGCATCACAGTGATTCTGCGCCTGATTTAACTACTCTTAGGACGACTGTCAGTGAGAGAAAAAAACGAAAGCACCCTGGAGGAGATGACAGCATCACGTCCTTGATAAAAGATATGTTTACCAATTTCTCTAAGGAACAGGAAACGCATTTCTATAATTTACAAAGTACAATTGTAGACCTCAAAGAGCAAAATTATGAGTTAAAACGAAGTGTGGAGCATATGTCTAACAAATATGATGATTTACTTACAATAATAGCTAATTTGGAAAAACAAATAAAAGAAGACAAACGGCACATGGCTTTAATGGAGGATAGATTGGAAACTATGGAGCGTAAAATGCGTGCATCGGGGATTGAAGTACGAAATATTCCTAAATCAACGGGTGAAACAAAAGATTTTTTGTTTAACATTATTAAAAAGACCGGAAAGGCCGTTAATATCAGTATAGAAGACTCCGAATTGAAAGATATATATAGATTGAACTCCAAGGACAGTTCTTGTCCGATTATAGTGGAACTAAACTCTGTTATTAGCAAGGAAAAAATACTTAGAGCGGTAAAAAGTTTTAACAAAAACAAACCAAGAGATGAGAAATTAAATACTTCTCACCTACAACTGCAACAACCAAAGAAACCAGTGTTTATATCAGAAACTTTAACTCAAAAGACCCAAAAATTATTTCAACTTGCAAGAGCGTTCAAAAAATCACACAGTTTTATGTACTGCTGGACTCTAAACGGAACTGTTTACCTACGCAAAGATGAAAAATCCAGCCAGATACGAATTAACAGTGAAGCCGATCTCGAAAATTTAAGGAAGACTCAATGACTAGAATTAACATTTATTTTTATTATTTATTTTAAATTTTACTGTTCTTTAATATTTACTTTATTTTACTTTATCATAGTACTAGCGGTTTACATTACACAAATACACTATTATTCTTCATACATATTTTTACACTACAAAAATTACTTATTTAACAAAAAATCCTCACGGAAAAAAAATTACATTTCAATTAAACTTTACATGCAATTTATTAAATTATCACATAAAAAAATAAATGAAAATACTTACGGCAAGGGTTCTATGTTGTATCAGACATATTTTTATATTTTGCTTTCTACTTATCTCTATTTCTATTTCGTGCCGTATACAAAAACAGTTAAGAATAAATTCATTAATTTAACTTTAAAGGTATATTTTGTTAATAATTTTAATTTATATTATAGGTACAATTTATCATGCCTTCAATGCCTTCTAAATTATAAGAAAGCAATAGAACTTATCGGAGTCCATAATAATTATATTATTCTCTTTGTTCAGAGCCAGATTAGGATGCAACTGCTGTTGCAGAAATATTTTTTATTAAGCAAAACCAAACAACTTATATAAAAAGATGGCTATCAATATAGAAAATCTAACAATCGATATTGATAATATCTCTGTGGCAAAATCATACAACTGTAGCACAGAACACTGTAATAATATTATTCAGAATGTCAGTTTTTCTAAATCTGTAAATGTTTTAACTCAGAATATACGAAGCGTTTATAAAAACATAGATGGGTTAATGGCACAATTGGAAAGATTTACTTTTGAATGTGATATTCTAATTCTAACGGAATGCTGGTTAAGTAGTCACAAACCTCCTCCACTTATTGATAACTATACATGTTATTGTTCTAAAAAAACCTTAAACCAAAATGATGGTATAATTATTTATGTAAAATCTGGAATAGATTGTATTGTGGAGGAGCCAGATTCGATTGGTGGTAACTTCCTTTTGCTAAAGACGGAACCAAATATTGCAATATTAGCCACATATAGATCGCCATCGTTTTATAATATTGACAGTTTTCTAAACACGATTGAACATGTTCTTCAACCCATTAAGGCAAAAAATATATATCTTTTAGGTGATGTCAACATTGACATTAAACCTAACAATGGCGATAAAAATAGCTTATCTTATTTAAATCTTATGGCAGAACTAGGTCTTCTACCAGGACATACTTATCCAACGAGAGTCAATAATTGTTTGGACCATGTCATGATTAAAACCTGTTTGCCTGCCACAGTAGTTGTTCTGAATTCAACTGTTACTGACCACAGTTCTGTGCTTCTAAACCTTTCTTTTAATAACGATTATACTCATAAAGTAAGCTATAATACAAAAATTGATTACAATGAAATTCTTAAAAATCTGTCTACAATTCACTTTTCTTTTATAAACACCAACTGCAATGCAGATAACACTGCCTCACATTTAGTTGAAAAAATATCTTCGATAGTAAAATTTTGTACTCAAGAAAAAGTGATTACTAGGCGGCAAATTATTCTTAAGCCATGGGTTACACCCGGAGTTCTACGGTGCATTCGCCATAGAGATAAATTGCATAAAAACCTTAAAAAGGACCCGGATAATAACATTTTGGTAGTTTCGTATAAGCGATATAGAAGTTTTTGTAATTCTCTCCTAAGAAGGCTTAAATTTGAATATGAAAGATCTCTTCTTAAAAAGGCACAAAATAATAAACAAAAATGGAAAGCTGTAAAAATTATTACAAATCAAAATACTATTAATGCACCAGCTAAAGAGTTGCTGAATAATATAGATAATAGGTCTTGTACAATTGAGAGTATAAATGATTTTTTCTCAAACGTTGGTAAAAATTTGGCAAACAAAATAAGTCAAGACAAAACCGAAAACTATCGGTACAACTTCAATGTACCTTGTGTTCTCAATTCCTGCGTTCTCATTCCACCCGACGAAGCGGAAATAGAGTCTATTATTATCAACCTTAAAAATGACTGCGCTGTAGGCTGGGACTCTATCTCTAGCAAACTTTTAAAGCTAGCTAGAAATATTCTTGTTCCGCCTTTAACTAAATTATTTAATATTTGTCTAGATCAAGGTATATTTCCAAAAGTTTTTAAAAAATCCATTATAACTCCAGTACATAAAAGTGGCTCTAAAGATAATATAAATAATTACCGGCCTATATCTGTATTGCCTGCACTCTCAAAAATTTTGGAAAAAGTTTTAAATACTCGGTTGATGAATTTTTTAGAAAAGAATAATATTCTGTCGCGTCATCAATATGGTTTTAGGTCGGGAAAAAGTACAGAAAATGCTGTTAGTGACTTGGTTGATTATGTTACCACTAAGCTTGATAATAAACAAAAATGTATTGGTGTTTTTCTTGACCTCGCCAAGGCATTTGACACTGTTTCGATTCCCTCTCTCCTTGACAAGCTAGAAAGAGCAGGAATTCAAGGTGTAGCGTATTCCATCATTAAAGGACTTTCTTTGTGATCGTGTACAGTGTGTTAAGATTGATCGAATAGTAAGTCCTTATGTCGCAGTTACATATGGTGTTCCACAAGGAAGCATACTTGGCCCAAGTCTCTTCTTGGTTTACATTAATGATCTTTGCCAACAGCCATTATATAATGGACAAATATTTACATACGCTGATGACACGGCGCTGGTATTTTATGGAGAGACTTGGGATAAGGCTTGTAAAAATGCTGAAGATGGAATACACAAGGTAAACTGCTGGCTAAGACTGAATTTACTTACTCTAAACCTGTCAAAAACAACTTTTATCCAGTTTAATATCAAGGAAAACCACACTGGAAATATATCAATAAAGCTGCATTGCTGTAAATTACTGAAAGATCAACAATGTTCATGTCATATGCTCCATAAATCTGATACTGTCAAATACTTAGGCGTTATTTTAGATTGTAAAATAAACTGGCTTGGTCATATAGATCTACAAACCTCTAGAGTAAGGAAGCTAATTTGGGCGTTTAAACATCTAAGGTATGTGGCTGATTTTGATACACTTCGCGTAGTATATTACGCGCTTGCTCAGTCAGTAATAAACTATTGTATTAGAGTTTGGGGTGGCGCATGCAAAACCCACATTTTGAGACTTGAAAGAGCCCAAAGATAGTTGCTTAAAACGATGACTTTTAAGCCGTTTAGGTTCCCAACTAGAACACTCTATAATGATTGTCAAGTTCTTACTGTTCGGCAGTTATACATTTTACAACTTATAAGCAGACAACATCTTGCTACTGCATACGACAAAGACAAAATAGAAAGAAAACGTACAATAGTTAATGTCTTGACTCCAACCGCTTTCCGCACGTCTTTTGCCAGGCGCCAACATGGTTACCTTAGTGTACATTTGTATAACAAAATAAACAAAATCCTTAACTTTTATCCACTTCTACTTTACAAATTTAAAAAGAAGGTAGAAAAATGGCTTTTATCATTAAATTATGAAGAAACGGAAGACTTGTTTAATGTTATAATATAATCTGCTAGTTGAATC